ATGACCGTATTGTCGGGATTGGCTCGGTTAACGATGTCCCCGCAGTGACATCGGCTTATGTTCACCAACAGGACGATGCCAATGCTCAGCTGCGGACGGAGTTGCAGGCGACGCAGTCTCATGTGAGTACGCTTGCCGAGATCGTCGATATTATGGCGGTTGGAAATCCGCAAGTGGCGAAGATGTTGCATCAGAGACGGGAAAACGGCGCCCTTCTACCCCAACAGCCTCCACCATCTCAGTCACAGCCGGCATCCAACATTGGAGACGACGACTTCATGCAGCAATTTCATGAGCATCATCCCTTTTAGTTTTTTTAGTTTTTAATTGTATATTATGAATTTTAAAACTTATTAATTGTATATTATTTATTTATTTATAAATATCTTGTTATTTATTTTTTTATTTATAATTTGGTTTTTAAATTTTTTTAATATATATAATTTTTAATTTATAAATATTTTTTTTAAATAGGAAAAAATTATCTCGAAGCAAAATCCTCGTAAAGGTTTCGAAGTAAAGTCCTCGTAAATTTTCCTAGCAAGTTCTTCGTAAAGATCCTACTACGAGATTACGAGGGAACAATTTACTATGACATTATGAGGAAAACCTACAAGGACCTTACGAGGAAAACTTATCCACGCGTTTACGAGGAAATGTTAAATTAGCTAGGACATTACGAGGAAAATATGCTTTACAATGAACGTCTTTCGACGAAACGCGTTTCATTTACTAAGAAATAACGAGGAAAAACCGTCCTAGTAAATTACATGTTTTCTTGTAGTGTAGATGGTTCTTACTTAAATCTATTTGGTTTGGTAGATCCGATTTAAAATTCATATATTTATAAATTTCAAAATTTTGAATATGTAATTAATACTTTACTCTTTTTAGGTAAGGTTTTAAGATATACTAGATTTTGACCCGTCCTTATAGAGGACGGGACAACCGTTTTTGCTTTAAATTATTGCCCTTGTTAGATTATTCACAAGTATGTAAAGGCATGAGTATCCGGGCTCGGATAGATGGTCAATAAGAATTATGGTTTAATCCGACATATATAGATTAAATTCTTTCCTTAAATTCCGTAAACATAAGTATTTGTGATTTGCGAATTTTATAAATCTATGCCCTCTAGGATGTAATATGTCGCCGAAATGTTGCGGTCCAAGTTAAACGATATAACTGAAGATCCTCGGTTTCCCAAGTTTATGTTTGTGCTTATTTTGTAAGATCATTGAGTAAAGACTGGTTGGTGTTGTTTACTAAAACTACAGTAACTTAATGTTGGCAGGTTGGCGGGTTGGCGGGTTTAGGGTTTAGGGTTTTTTAGTGGTTTTTAATTAGTGAATATTTCTTCATACTCATAATGGATAATTTAGCGGATCACCGAAATTGCATATCCAACCACGGGTCTGGTTGGATGTAAAAACTTATGGAAACCAAGGTGAACTCAAAATTTTATCAGATTCGAATATTGTTATTTGAACTAAAATAATCAAATAAAAAGGTATCCATATTCATAAATAACCAAATGGTTTTTATAGGCTTTGAACAAAAAAAAACGAAAACACAACTGAACCAGAATCAAACAAAAAAACATGAAAGGAATCAAAAACTGAATTGCCTTAACATATTAGTGAGCAAACAAACAGGTTAATAAATTTATCAACAAAAAAATAATCTCGCACTTTAAAAGCGCGGAACAAAATCTAGGTATGAATATAAAATATGAACCTGAAGCCCGAACTGAACCCAAACAAAAAAAAAACGATCGGTATCCGGTCCAAAGGTAAGAAATATCAGAATAAATTTTGTAGAATAGTACAAAACATATCCTAATCTGAAGCGTTATTAGCTAAACCCGAACGTATAGCTTGAAAAAAATTGAAAACCCAAAAAACCGATTTGAAAATCCAAATTAATCACAACTATAAATATTTGAAACATAAATATGTGCTTCAAATATTCAGTTTTATATTTATTTGAAACAATATCATAAAAAACTTTAAATTTGAAATAGATACCTTAAATATCTAATTCAATATAGATAAGTATTTATTTCTTATGCTTTGCTTTTAATTTTGGATTTAACTTCAGATATATGAACCGAACCAATACAATCTAAATACGAACGATATATCCATACTTATGGGTTTTAAAATGTGATACAAATTAGAACCAAAACAGATGAATTATATCCAAACCCGTATGTATTTACAAATTTACCAATATGAGATCTATGATGTTATATAAATTAGGACCAGAATTCAAAGTATCCAACCCGTATCTCAACGGATACCTGAACTCCTAAGCCTAATTAAAGTGTGCTTTATTTTTTGTTCAAAATATTTACATATTTGTTGGAATAACCCATTAAATTATACTCATAAGAATATTAAAAGAATAATATCTGTTTTTATCAAATTTTCATGATTTGATTTAATATATAATGATAATAATGTTTACACATAATAGCTTTTCCTACAATTTAAAATGGGTTTTGTAAATTTTGATTAAATGTATTTTTTATTTTTTTACCTACTAAAATGCGTAACGTGAGAAATTATAAGTTGGACTAAACAATCCGATAACCAAAAGATATCATTTGGATCGATTTGTTGCATTTGAATTAGAAAATAAAAATAAATTAGGTTTTTTTTGTTTTGATTTGGTTATCGGATTGTTTAGTCCAAATGATCCAGAATATTTGACCAACGTAAGGTCAATCAAAACTTGGAGGATTTAAATGCGTCGATGATATTTGAGGAATAAAAATGTTGCCTTGCTGTTGCATTGAAAAGAAAATTATAAAAATACAAAATTTAATAAAATCATAGCTTAAAAATATTTTAGTTGCAGAATCTTGTAAATATTATTGAAATAAAAAACATTTAAAAACAACCTTGTATTTTAATAGTATTGATTATTTGATCTATACTTTGAATCGCGGGATTGTCTTTTGTTAATAAACCTATTAATTTATTTATTAGTTTATAATAGAAACGCCAATAGACTGTTTTTAAAGAATATGATGTTCTAAATATTGGAAAAACATAAAGATACTAAAAAGTATTGTTTTTTAATAATAATTAAGTTATTTATTTGCCAAATCTTTAGCTTTTGATTTAGTGGTTTAGATTTTTTTGTTGTTTATTTTGAAAAACCTTTGAAAATCCTATAATTTGGTCGACTATATTAATATTGGTTAAACCGTTGAGGATTCTAAGCATCTGTATTTCTATATGTATAAGTTTATTGTCTTGATTAGTTTATATGCTTAAAAATATATAAAACAAATGAAAAAAATTAAAAGGATAGATATTTCACGATTTTGAACAATACAACATGTATGTTTTTTGGTGTTATTGTTTGTTACCAAAATATTGATTGGAATTGACGAATGGTAGATGCACTGATATTAACATTATGTATTGTTTTTAATTTTCATTTGCAGAATTCAATAAACGTTGAATCTTGGGTATTGATGGAACATTATTATAATATACAAAGATTTGGATATTTACAGTCTTTTTTTTTTGAAACACAGGATATTTACAGTCTAAAAAATGAGAATCAGTGTGTTATACTAATCGAAGATTCAACATAATGATACATTATGTTGAGATAGGAAGCCACAGTTAATTTAATGTAGTTGTTTTTAAAATAAAAATAAAAATTATGTTGTACAAATAAAAAGAAATAGATTTTGACCCGTGCGTCCGCACAGCTGTTTTTTTCTCTTTGTGTTAGATTTTATTTGTTCACTATTATTAATATATATTGCTTATATTTATTTTTAATTATATTACATATTTTGTTAATAGTTGTTCACAAATTTAATATTTTTAATTAGTTTAGTATTTAAATAGACAATATCTTTTAATTTTATTTTTTAAATCTTCGTAGTTTGCAGAAAATACTATATAAATTTCATTAATTATAACTCTAATTTATTTTTATTATGCATGTTATTCTTTGTATCATTAAAATTTAATAATTTTCAGAATTATATTTGTAATAAATTATCTCACGAATTTTTTTTTCAATATATCAAAACTTATTACACATATAAATGTTTGTTTGTATTTTTAGCATTTTGAATTATAAGAGGCTGCAAAATTTAGTAACTAAAATATTTTCTAGTTAGGATAGGATACCCACATTTTTTCAAAAAAAAATCTACTGTAGTTCATATATTTGAAAATATTTTTATTTAAAAAAAATACTTTTGGTTTGTGTTCTTATGCTAGAACCGGTTTGATAGATTATTGCAAAGGAAATTAATCTTAGTCATAGAAAGATTAAACCAATTACTCTGTGTGCTACCAATTTGATACTATAATCCATTGGAAACGTTTTAACAAACCATGCTAAAACGGTTTGATAGATTGTTTCAATTACGAAATTAACTTCATAAAAAGATTAAACCAATTACGCTGCATGCCACAAAATGGTACAATAATCCAAGATCATGGATTTATTAAAGAAAATTTTCCAGTATGATATAATATGAGCACTATCAGTTATCATGTGTTCATAGTAGACTATGTGTGACTTATAGTTTGATAAATATGGACCAAGTCGAACGAACCATAATGGCGTGGTTAGCATACATTAGGAAATGGTTCAATAAAAAAATATAGATATGGTTAATATTCTCCTATTTAAATAAAAGATTATGTTGGCAGGGATCTATAAATACTGTTAAAACATAATCGGGTCAAAACCACTTTAATCGGGTAAACCCATTTTGATATAAAGCATAGATTAAAAGAAAATGTAGTGGCATTTGATTGTAATTAATATTAAAAACCAAGGGCACCTGAAAAAAGGGCCTTGTGTTTTAATAGTATAGATTTTCAGGTTGTTAGTATAACTTTGGTTATTTAGATTACAAATAAGCTCCTTAATTAATAAAGCCCAAACCTTTAAGCCTCTCTGTCCTGTCCTTACAACTTCACTTCTTTCTCCTCGGAGAAAAGAAAAAAAAGAAGAAAATGGAAGAAGCTTTCATGGCGATGCTCTCCCACCTCCTCCACCTCCAAAACTCCCTAGACCCAACAAGCACCATCTTCTCCTCATCCTCCTCCTCCACATCTTCCCCATCTCCCACCACACCTTCCTCTCTCCTCTCCTCCTCCTCCGCCGCCCCTCTCCTCTTCTTCACCCTCGCCTCTCTCCTCTCCTTCCTCTCCGTCTCCAGATCCTCCCCCAACTCCAACGACTCCTCCTCCTCCTCCTCCTCACCTTCCCCTCCTCCCCCTCTCCCCGACGGCGACTACTCCGTCTCCGCCTTCCGCGCCCTCGCCAACGACCACATCTGGGCCCTCGACGCCCCTCTCCGCGACGCTCGCTGGCGATCTCTCTACGGCCTCTCCTACCCCGTCTTCACCACCGTCGTCGAAAAGCTCCAGCCTTTCATCGCCGCCTCCAACCTCTCCCTCCCCGCCGACTACGCCGTCGCCATGGTCCTCTCCCGCCTCGCTCACGGCTGCTCCGCCAAAACCCTAGCTTCCCGCTACTCGCTAGATCCCTACCTCATCTCCAAGATCACCAACATGGTCACCCGTCTCTTAGCCACCAAGCTCTACCCGGAGTTCATCAAGATCCCCGTCGGAAAACGGAGGTTAATCGAGACCACGCAGGGATTCGAAGAGCTCACCTCTCTCCCAAACATCTGCGGGGCGGTGGACAGCACTCCCGTGAAGCTAAGACGCCGCACCAAACTCAATAACCCTAGCCCTAGAAACAACATTTACAACAGCAAGTACGGATACGACGCCGTTTTGCTCCAGGTAGTTGCTGATCACAAGAAGATCTTTTGGGATGTTTGTGTGAAGGCACCCGGTGGAGAGGAGGACTCTTCTCATTTCAGAGATAGTCTTCTCTACAAGAGACTTACTTCTGGTGACATTGTTTGGGAGAAAGTGATTAATGTCAGAGGTCATCACGTGAGGCCTTACATTGTAGGAGACTGGTGTTACCCTCTTCTCTCGTTCTTGATGACGCCGTTTTCTCCCAACGGCTCCGGGTCGCCTCCCGAGAATCTGTTTGATGGGATGTTGATGAAAGGGAGGTCTGTGGTTGTGGAGGCTATTGGGTTGCTGAAGGCGAGGTGGAAGATTCTTCAGAGTTTGAATGTTGGTGTGAACCATGCTCCTCAGACTATTGTGGCGTGTTGTGTGTTGCATAACTTGTGTCAGATTGCTAGGGAGCCTGAGCCGGAGTTGTGGAAAGATCCTGATGAGGTTGGAGCGCCGGCGAGGGTTTTGGAGAGTGAGAGGCAGTTTTATTATTATGGGCAGAGTTTGAGGCAAGCGTTGGCTGATGATTTGCATCAGAGGCTCTCTTCAAGGTAAAAAAATAAAAGACATGACAGTTGTTGGAACTTTTGGCATTGTTATCGTGTAAGAAAGCATGTGTGTTTTCAAGTGTTTAGGTAGCTTTTGTAGAAAGGGATGTTCTTGATCTCTCTTGCCATTATCTGGATCAGCATAACTATGGATTATTGTTGTATTAACTTTCCAGGCTTAGTACGCTTCTTTTGTTGGAACTTTGCATTAATACAATTCCATTCTCTAGCTCAGTGACAAGATCAGTAAAGGTCTTGACATCTATTCTCTACGTATGCTTTTCCTCTTTTGAATCATGTCATTACGCCGAGTTGTTACCTTGCTTCCCGTGTTTTAGCTAAAGGGTGTCGAGTAGACACACCGTGTAACAGTTTGACAAGACCAAAGAGGCTTAGCTTCACATCAGTGTGCCTTATCCAGTCATGTAGAATGATATGGACTGGAAGGGATTATCCAGCAGTATACCGAGTTTTGTCCTTTAGGAATCAGCTGAAAATGATAGTGAAAGTGACAAACAAACTTATGGAAGCGACTTCTTAGATGACTATAACTCGAATTCCATTCATGTAAAATAGCTCATAAGCATGGCGAGCACTCTGCTCCTAACAATCAAGTGACTCATGCTGATAAACACTAACGGAAGCTGCACAAAACTCCTCGAAGTCCATCCCTTTGTATTGAAGTCCATATAACTGGCAAGTTCCAAACACCAGACCTTGTGTTACATCTTAATAACAAAAGACAGGACGATATCAATGCACGAGAGTCTGGGATCCTGGATTTATAGCAGGTGCCTCCACCAGAAATAGAAATTAGCTTTGAGCTGTCTGTTCTCTACCATAGAGAATGAGAGAAGGAAGGTGCATATACTGATCTGAAGTTATCCAAAGTGATGAGGCCATTTATGTTGGGTGCAAACTGTGCTTTCAGATAAAGAAGTTCATCTGTGTAACTAATTTCTTGAACAGAGCTGGAGAGAGTATAAGAGGTAGGATCAGCATTCAGCACTACAATGTGGAACAATTGCATGAAACAATGTACCATCAAAGCAGCTTTGCCCAAAGACGAAGACTTCAAGTATGCTTTGATCCGCCTGAAGATCAGAATATTAAATGAGATATCCATGCTCTTTTTACACCCAGCGATCCAAGGATGCACTGAGAATAATAAATGCAAAGTTGATTGGTATTCATCACAGTTAAGAAATATTGTGGAGATATTAGAGTTACTGATTCAAAGCTTGAGAGGCTGTCATAAACTCTGATACCACTTATATAAACCAATCAAATCTTTTATAAAATGGCTTATTGGTGTTTCGTGTTTGATTTATTTTAATCATTCTTCATTTTATAATTTATATATATTTTCCCGAAAAAGAAACAATGGTACAATGATTAGTTTTCTAGCTAATTCTAATCACAAATTCAATTATTTACCTAGACAACTAAACCAAAATAGAGAGACTTGAGAATGAATGATATACAACAGGTTGCAATCATTGTGCTACAAACCCTCATTATTAAATATCAAAAACATACAAAAGAAACAGGAGAATTAAAAGAATGTATAAAGAACCCTTAAAATTTTCACCATGCCTTCATAGTTCATACAACTATATCCCAAAGTCATGTCCCTTACTTATGTGAACCCATATTTTCAAAAAAAGAAAAACAAGCCACATGTATTATTTGGTCAATTCTATAGCTTTTTGTGCTTTTACCTCCTTAAATATAATAAATAATAGTCGTTGTTGGAAGGGAATAATTTAGAGATTGTTAGGTGAAAGTGAGATTTGAAGGTTTGCCACGTCCCATGGTGAAGCCTCTAGTTCCATCAGGCATTCTTGGTCCCTTTGTAGCAGTCTTAGGAGACGAAGATTCGTGCAGGCCCAGGCTCGGTGACATTGAGCCGATGCTGAGTCCTAGTCCAAGCCCTATCCCGAAGCTACGTCCTCCGCCTCCTACTGTATAGTTTCTCGGAGATCGTCCTCGTCCTTTTCCTCTCCCTTTTCCCCAGAGTCCACCAATATTGTTGTCATCACCCTAACTTGCACACCAAGAAAGGTTATTTATTTATGAAAAGATTGATTTTAAAGGGATTTAAGCAAGACTAACGTCGTGATCAAGGTGTTGTTCGGTTAAATGGAGACGTGGAGAGTCTTCTCCTGATTCATAATAAGGGAGTTCATCATCGATGAGGATGCCATCGAAGTTTTTTCTGTTCTTGAGGACTGATTTGGGCTGTGAAAGAAAATTTCAATGTAGCTTAATCTCATCAGAGGGTTATTGAGTAGTGAGAAATAATAAGAGTGTAACTGATTATACCGAGCATCTAATAAGCAGCCTCACACGAAGTCCTTTCCTCCAGTTTCTTTCATCGTTCAGCTTCTCCACCTGGTATGAATGAATGAATCACATTAGAAACTAATCAATGTACAGAGTTTTGGATCAAATAAGAAAGGATTCACTCACAGCTTTATCCGCGACAACAGTGTGGTCATACTCAATAAGTGCGTGAATCTTTTGGATCAAAACATCAAGATTTAAGTCCATGAGAAGTTCAAAAACAGAGGAGATCAATATCATTAATTATAAGTAGATCATGGTACTTACTTTGTTGCTCATCAAGAAATCTCCTTTTGGACGTGAGGTGTTGAATTCTGGAGGATGACAGATTCTAATGGCTTTAACGCTGTAACAAATTTACACTTGTTGTTTGTTCATTTGCTTAGACAAAGCCATGTTCAAGTGAAAGTATATGAAGTAAAGTTTGAAAAGTCTTCTTACTTTCCAACAACTCCAAAGATCTTCTCAAGGTTCTGGTACGAGTGATCATCTGGCAGATTCTCTGCAACAACAGTCCGGCCCTGCAAAAACAGCAAACAAAAAATAATGATCAATATAAATATAATGAAGACTTTACTGGTAATTAATTACCTGTAACTCCTCTCTGTCTCTATCAGTAAATGGAATTTTACGCTTAACTTTCTTGTTGTCTTCACTCACAACCTTCACAAATCTCTCAGTTACCTGTACACTTAAGATCTTATATGGTAACTAGAGAGTAAGGAAATAGACTTACGAGCTTAGAAGAGGAGCGTAGAGCCAATGTAACTAAGTGGTGATGACTCGTTAAAGCCTTGATCTTCTTGGTCGAAGCGATATAAGATATTGGCACTGAGTTTTAAACAGAGACATAATGTGAAATGTAAAAGCAAAACTTGCATAGGATCTTCACATGATTTTCATAATTGAAGGATTGTAATTAAGAACCAATTTGTGCTTACCATAACCTTCTGGGTCTTTGCTAATGTGCTTTGAGATGGACTCATTGGCTAGGAGGCTCATGTCCGTGAACTGGTATTCAACCTGTAGTTTGAAACCAATAATTGGTACCGTGTGAATCAAGAAATTGATGAACTTTTTTGAATATGGGAGGGGTTGATTGGTAGAGCATTAGCGTAAGCATTCTGCTCTCTATTATCCAATCAACATTTGGCAAAGAAGCATTTAGAAAATCATTTACCAAATGCAAATGCTGTTTGCTCAATGCTCTCATATAGAGCTTTTGAGAGAGCATTTGAATATATAAAATATAAAACTTAATAATATTTATATATAATTACTTTATTTTTTATTTAATAATATAAACAATATTTTAATAATTAAATAAAAATAAAAATTATAATTAAGTTTTTTTAAAAGAAAAATATTTCACATTTAAAATATAATATAATTTATATAATTATCGATATAAACATATTATTTAGACACTAATAAATAAATTATATATTAACTTTTATGATAATTTTATATATGAGTAATTTAGTGCTCTACCAATAAATAAATAATAATTTATTTATTTATTCAATAATAATCATAATTTATAATAATTAATTAAATTATAATTATAATTTTATATATGAGTAATATCTTTATATGCAAAAATAATTTAATATTTATAAAATAAATTTTAAAATTTTAAATATAATTTATATACTGAAAATTCATTATTTTTAATAAAATTATATATTACTAATATATATTATATATATTATTTTAAAAGAAATATATTATTGTACTAACTATTATGACAATTTTAAAATCGTATACAGTTTATGTAGCATACTGCTTCTGCTTTATCATCTGCTGTACCAATCGAGGCCGAAATATTGGATCTGATCCGAATTAGAAAGGACCAAATCGAACCAAATTAAATATAAACATCAGCACGAAACATAACTTTTATATCAGAAAAAACAAATTCATATATCTAAAATATAAACCAAAATATTAGTTGTATTAATATTTCTAGTATTCCAATACTCAAAAATTATTTTTCTAAATTTCAACAAAGTTAATTGTAGATCAATTTTGAAGAATTTTTGTTAGTCTAAACTTTCAACTATGTTTATTGTTTAGTTTAATTCATGATTTCATCTTATGTGAAATTACGTCAGTTAATTAACAGAATAATAATTGTTTAAAAAGAATAATATTGTTTTCACTTAATTATAAGTTTATAACTGTTAATATGATCTCTGACATAGACAGTTACTATATCTTACAGACAGACATAATCACCTGTTTAACGATCTTAAGGCGTAGATCGTCAGAAAGCAAACTGTTCGAGGAAGAAGACAAGTTCTGATTCGCCGGAAACTGAACCACCGGATTCGAAACGTAAAACGGAACCGTGGGATCATGAATGTTTTGATACTGAACGGTATCTCCTCCTCCGACGAAGATCCAATCCGACGACTGAGAACCAACACCAGTATCTACTCCGCCGCTGCATCCTCCTATGGAAATGTCGTCGTAGTGGAAACAAGGATAGAAGTAACCGGAGATCGGAGAAACCTGCGGTGTTAGTGCGGTGGTATGCGATCGCGGTACAAATTCAGGTGCCTGAGCGTTGAATTTGAACGATGAAGATCCGCAGCCTCCTCCTCCTCCACCGTCTAATATCTTCTTCTCCGTCGTCTCCTTGGTGACAGAGACTACATCTTTTCGCTGCATCTGCGCCATTTTCTTCTCCTCACTATGCAAAAATCTCTTAACAAATTAATATTTTTTTTTGGTATTTTATAATTTTCAAATAATTTTTTTAATCTAACAAAATTAATACTAATGATTATTTTGTTGTTGTTTGTGCTCTTCTAATGATTTCGAAGCATGGAAAAAATTTGAAGCCTTGTGTGTTTTTGGGCGAAAATTATGGATTTTTAACGAGAAAATAGGTTTCCTAGTTTGACTTTGTATTTTACTATTTCTCTTTAAATTATTTTAAAATTTTAGTTCTCTCTTTCTAAAATGCATTTACAAATATTTTTATTGTAAGCCAACATATTTTTGCAAGCGTAGACCAGTCAGAATTTGTAATTTTTGTATTTCCATAGTCTAAATATCTTTTTTTTTTAAGTATATACAAATTATATATCTCTTTACAGAAGTGTAATTTAAAAGTGGTTAAAGCTTCACAGAAATATCAATCTAACCCAGGCTCTAAAACCCCTCATCTTCCATGATTATAAAAATTGTTTTTTTTTTTATCAAAAAAGTAAAGTAAAGCATGCACATATGTACTCTAATGGATTGTGTTATTTCACTATGTCATAGTCCGAACTATAATATCAGTTACCTCTTATGTGCACCTGCATTATTCTCTAAAGGCCAAATGTGCTTGGTTAAAATTTTATTCATTTGAAACATATTAATAGACTCAAGAGGGAACAGAGATCCCCATGTACCTCTGTCGCTAATGCTGTCACCCCAGTAAAAATTTAGTTTATGGGGCATCAAGGTGGCTAGGGATTATGGATGTTAAAATGGTAAAATCCACCCATTTAAACCCATCCGAAAACTCATCCAATTTAAAATCTATCCCATTTAGAAATGATACCCATTTCAACCAATTTAAAAATAGGTCTATTAGGATTGTCCAATTAGATCTACAAATTTTGTACTAATTTTTTTAAATTCATTTAGACCCATTTATTATTACTTTTATTTTTTGTTCTAATTCTTTTGCACAACTAATTTTCATTAATAATTTTACTTTTTATGTTTTAAAATTTTATAAACTCTAACCAAATTCATCTGAAATAAAAATTTGATTTTTTTTTCAGTTTACTGGAAAAACACAATTTTTAGTTTTGGCGGAAAAATACTCATTAACTTCTTTGTTTTGCTCTCCATTCTCGTCTCATTTCCCTGATGCATCACCTTATACATCTTCTTCTTTCACACTGGTTACACACCCTGAGAAAAAGAATCAGTTCATTGTACGTGGTCTCCTGGTGGATAACAGAAACTCAGGAATTGCTAGGAGAAAAAAAACATTAGTTCCCCTGACATAAAATCCAATGTATTAAACCGAGCAGTTAACTAACAGATTTCCAATTAAACATGATTGATTAATCTCTGCAGCCGTGTACTTGGTTTCATACACATGATCCTAATTAGGCAATCAAGCTATTTAAGATTGTAGGATCAATGGCTGACTGCACAGGAAGACTCTGGATATATAAGCTACCATACACTCTAAAGAATTCATGAAGACATTCAAAACAGATCTCTATGATTACCATAAAACATTGAACGATCCCAAGTTTAAATGAAAATCCTATTCTTATGACAAGGAAAGTACGATCATCTAAATATGCTTGGATAACGCCTTGTTCATTTAAAACATGCTAATGCACTTTAACGTATACATCAAACTTTCACTGACTCAAAGCATTATGTTATCCACAAGCCTCCTAGATATTGGTCAATAGACTCAATACGTACAATTATTTCTCAATTGCGTATTTACATTTGAAATTTCATTTATATAGATACTTGTTGCTAGTATACGTACGTATAATATATAATTGCTCAACTTGGTTTGAAGTAGAAGAACAAAAGCTAAAACATACATATGATCGTCATCAGTTCTTATTTTACGATCTTCATTAGTTTAAGATCATTAGAGCTCATATTTTTTGTATATATTAGGGGGAATAAGTGGATAAGATTATGGGATAGAAGAATAATCAAAAAGGAAGATGTGGTCATTAAAGGCCACCATGCATCACAAGATTTTCTTACGTTTCCGTAATCCATATTGTTTATTATATATATCAGACTTTAGAGTGATTAGAATATGAAATCCAGTTCCATGTTGCATGCAATATAAGTATCGTATTCCGCACTATATCATATATATCCTTTTTTTGACTAAACATATATCTAAGTTGCTAAACAAACTTCCCAAGGTCAAGGTTCTCTTCGCTTCTACGTGTCTTTCAATAAAACATTTCATAAATATTTTGACTAAATTAGCTATGTAACTATATATGTTGGCTGAACCGAACTCAGGAACTGGATATATAGTCATCCAAATAGAGCACCATTGGATTACAAAAGGTTTTCGTCTATTTAAATTTTTGCTTTTTAAAAAAGTATATCAGTTAATTTTTCTTTGGTATCGTTAGATTTATAATTTAGAAATTTAAATATATATGAGAACAAAAATAATTAATTAAATTTCATACAACGTTGGAATTAATTATACATTATATTAGAAGTTGGATTTTATTAATGCACCAAAGTTCCGTTCATCTGTCTCTATGGTAACTTCAGAACAAACCAAGTGAGTATTTTTTTGTTAGACACGAATAATTTGACGCTCTTCTTATCCAAAAGAACCAACAAAAACAAAACGTAAAGTGAGTTTCCACTTTTCTTGATGTGCAGTCATCAAGTTGTAAGCTCGTAGGTATTAGAATCTGGAAATGAGATTCACTTGACTATTGGTTACTTCTAAAATGTTACTTTTCTTGGGTACAATCTGTTTTTTTTTTTAAAGTCGCCACTAGCTAGCCACAATATAATAAAGTTTGATCTTGAAAGACAAAAGTAGCAGAAACTTGAACGACTAGGATGAAACCATGTGGCATGTGCCTCATGGGCTCTTAGAACATATGGTTAGCTAATTTTGGTGCTTTGTTTAATTAAGCTTGATGCTTAAAGTTTAACAAGTAGGTTAGATAATCCTTGCAACTTGCATTAGCAACGATATTCTATAATAGTTTTTCTCACTTATGCATCTCTTGAGTTTGGTGCTACGTCGCATCGCATACTCTATTGATTTTCATGTCAATCCCACGAATTAAGTGGAATTACTTAATCATCCATTCATCCCGATCTTTGATTTGTTCTTTAAACCCCTAATTTTCTTATTTTCCGTCACTTTGCCTTTTTTAGGTCTAGTTAGGTTTGAGGCACAGTGAATCGTTTTCATTAGTTTGGATTATAGTTTTCTTCCATTTTGATAATTCGATGTAAATGTAATTTGATTTTGGATTAGATTTGAATATCAATTAGGAAGATCATATTGTTTTCTTTCACAAGAAAAGGATCATATTGTTTTACCAAATAAGACATGTTACTATTTGCAATAACGCAAACTTAATGACATACATATCCACTTTATGTAATAAACAATTACCAATCATTCGAGAATAAATAAAAGAATTAATAATCATTATCGTATGCGCTTTATGATCTTTTGAATATGATAACCTTTTGATTCCTCATAATAAAGTATCAACTTACATCATGTGATGTATTCGTATCTATATATTAAAGACGATATTAACCAGCTTTACACTGCTGGGGGAACATACAAAGTTTTAAAAGTATTTTATCCATGCAAGTTAATCAGAATATTTATAAGAATTTCAATCAAAAACAACATCAAATTGTCGGGATGTCCTCATGTCCTATTCCTGCAGAAGTTTCATCCTCATCCACATTCAACCAAACGCGTTTGTTATTATATGTATACCGTGTATCTACTATATTATATACTATCACTACTAACATATATATTTACGTATTTTAGCAAAAAAGAAAAATTACGTGGTTTATACACATGAACATGTTATTTCTTAGAGTAAATTAGCTCAATATACTAAAGAATGAATGCAGAAATTAGGAATATACATGAATATATGTTACCATCTAAACGATCTCTCTATTTGGATCTTAAACTACACAAAAAACTATTTACAGACTTTATAAAAAGTTAGTTATAGGAAAAGCTCTCTAAATTTTAGATTCGGAGATTAGTTTAGCTAATTATCGTTGATGAATTTCCTGGTTTTAGAAAGAAAAAAATCCTGGTTTTAGCTATTACTATATATTTTGCATTTTATCTAATTTGGATATATATTCCTATATTCAGTTGTACGTACAAGTTACAATCTTTCTTTGCATGCTCGTATCTAGGAGAAAATATATGTATATGTACACCCTATGCAATTATTGCATTAATAATAACGTTAGTCGTTCGTTAGACATATACTAGTTGCATATTCCCCGCGCAAGCGCGGGGTCGGGATCATTATGTTTGCGTGTATTTTATCGATTGTTGGTTTAGTGGATTCTTCTAATGACACCAATTAATAATGAAATGGAAAATTTCATGTTTTTATATCGTAGGTCAAAACTTGATATAATTCTATATTTATAGTATTTATATTTGTTTTAAACGATTTATCAATATGAAAATAACCTTAATTAAGTTAATATTCTTTGTTTAAGTTTCATTAGATAGGTTTTTATATATGGTTTTTTGTAAGTTTCGATTTTGTTCATAAATAATGTGGCATTTTTATCTACGGCGTCATCGACTGTGGGAATCCATTCGTCGGAGTCTGGAATCGGTGGTGAGGAATGTTTTCAAGGAAATTATAGTAGTTATTAAAACGTAAGAGAAATTATATATTCATTTAATAATAACGAAAATAATTAATTTTGTTGTTTTATTTTATTTTATCTCACATACAAATTTTTTGAAAATATATATTAGGAAATATGTGCAATGATTTAACTTTTTGAGCTCCTAATCTATATTATTCAACCCTCATTAAGCCATCCACGTATGCACCCGCGTGGAATTCACTTTTTTTTTTGTCTGTTCGTTTTTGGATTTATTTTTTATTATTTTTGGGTTGAGCTATATTATAATAGGATAGTTTTAATCGCGTAGGCAACCACGTGAGACTTGTTTTTTTGTTTTTTGTTTTATTATTCGTTTTGGATTCATTTTTAACTATTTTGGGTTTGAACTTATTAAGGTTTAGGGTTTATACAATTATTTTGATCTTTAAAACAATAAGCCCAAAAAAAAACATCAGAACCTTATAAACAAAAAGCTCATATGATAATAACCTAAATAAAAAAAAAATCAAAAATACATGATAGCTGCATGAACCACGTGAGACTTGTTTTTTTTTGTTTTTTGTTTTATTACGTTTTGGATTCATTTTTAACTATTTTGGGTTTAAACTTATTAAGGTTTAGGGTTTATACAATTATTTTGATCTTTAAAACAATAAGCCCAAAAAAAACATCAGAACCTTATAAACAAAAAGCCCATATGATAATAACCTAAATTAAAAAAAAATCAAAAATACATGATAGCTGCGTGGTTTGAACCCACAATCTTGCATACTTAATTAGACACCTTATACCACTTGGCTAAAGTGTATTTCATTGTTTGTAACCATCTTACCAAGACTATGTGTGTTTAAAAAATATTTTTATGATGATGACATTAATTGGTTTTATGCATGAGAGCAGTGGGAATTGAACCCATGTCCTTGGAGACCAAACATGGGGTCTTAGACCACTTGACTAAACTGATATTCTTTGTTTGTAGCCATTTTAAAACAACTATCTATTTTAATATAAAAATGTGGGACCCACAATCTGCCTATGTGGATACCTTAAGGAGCCTTTAAACTGAATCATTATAATATAGACTAGATTTTATACTCGCGCTACGCGCGAGTCTGTTTTAATAATCTAGTTTAATTAAAATAACTTAAAACCAAAATATTAATTGAGTAATATAATTTTCTTATTCAAAATATAATCTTTAATTTAGTATTTATGTTTTCTTATAATTATGTTATCTTATTAGCTATTTAGTTATTTGTATTTGTAAATATAATAATTATGTTTCTAAACATATTCATATTTTTTGGAAATATTAATTTATATTTTAAAATATTAAATAGATTTCTCAATACATGTAAACTTTTAACACGTTATAATATTTTCATNATATTAACATATTTGTTATAGTACAGATTTTTGTTACCATTCACCTTTTTAAAAATAACAAAATTAAGATAGTCATTTGCCAAATTCTTTTGGTATTTACTTTATGTTAATTTTAAAACTCTTCTATGTACTTAGTTAACTACCTCACTTATATATGATGTTTTTACTTTTGTAAGTTTATCAAATTTTGATACTAATTATTTTTGGTAATTATTTTATGTTATTTTCGTTATTATTTTATATATTAAGTTAACTTACATATGATGTTTTATTTTTTTAAGTTTACCATATTTGATATTGATTTATATTTTATTTTGGAAATTAATTTTTTTTTTAATATTGACTTTTACAAAAATAGTAAAGTTAAGATAATTTTTTTATTTTAATTAATTTCGAAAATCTATAAATATTAAAACTAAATTATATATAATGGTTTACTTTTTTAAGTTTCCCTTATACATATTTATTATTATTATTTTATATTTAGTAACATTAACATTTTTAAAATAAGAAATCAAAAAAACTTATGTATCATGATATGATTGCAAGACTTAAATCTTATGTGGTTGTTA